GTCTCTACTAAAAATACAAAAAAAAACTAGCCGGGCGAGGTGGCGGACGCCTGTAGTCCCAGCTACTCGGGAGGCTGAGGCAGGAGAATGGCGTAAACCCGGGAGGCGGAGCTTGCAGTGAGCTGAGATCCGGCCACTGCACTCCAGCCAGGGCGACAGAGCAAGACTCCGTCTCAAAAAAAAAAAAAAATAAGTGCTTAGATCAAATATATTTTGAAGGAAAAGTAAGAGCTGCAATGCCTCCTAGTTCACGTGACTTTAATCTTTGAGAAATAAAAACCGTCTTAAAGATTATTGGTAAAATATAAATGTCTTCAAAATGTAAATATGTGATCTAAATTATGCAGTTCAGATACTAGGTTTGCTAAATGTCTTAAGGTTATGAAGTCCTTCTTTGGCTTTTGAGAACTGTTCCACTTGACTGCTTTACAGCTTGGTAAGGCCTGGGGACATATGGAATTAACCACTCCTCTATGCTGAAAAGAGTCAAGCCTGACCTGCGCCTAGAACAGAAGTAAAACAATTTACCAGGTTTTACATTAAAGTTAAGAATTGCTAAGAGTTATCATTATAACGTGTAATTGAGACTCCTGAAAATAGATTTACATGCAAGGTGTGTAAGAACAGTAAAATGTATTTTTAGTAAAAGATTATAAGAAGGCATGGGAATGTAAATTTTTGCCTAGGGTTAAAGGATTGTTTTAAATTAGATAAGATAAAGCTAAAGGTTTAAAGAAGTTATGAAAGGTTTCTAAATGCTAATCTTGCAAAAGAAATTCTGTGTGTGAACATTAAATTCAAAAGGGTATTATATGGTTTTCTGTAAAATTGAGAATTGAAATAAAAGTACAATAAGATTTTCTTAAGGCACTAATCTGCTCTTTAGCAAAATGTGTAACAGGTTATAAAAGGTTTATAAGAATCTTCCCTCATGGTCAAACTGGTTAAGATTTGATAGAATGGCCTATAAGATTTCATTTTTGAAGGGGTGGCCTGCCCCTCCACACCTGTGGGTGTTTCTCGTTAGGTGGAACGAGAGACTTGAGAAAAGAAATAAGACACAGAGACAAAGTATAGAGAAAGAAAAGCTGGGGCCCTGGGGACCGGCGCTCAGCTTACAGAGGACCCACGCAGGCACCGGTCTCTGAGTTCCCTTAGTATTTATAGATAATTATCTTTACCATCTTAAAGATAAGGGAGTGGCAGGACAATAGGATCGTTTTTTAGGGAGGAAATCAGCAGTAAGACATAATAACAAGGATCTCTGTGACATCAATAAGTTTAAAGGAAAATTCTGTGCCTAGAGATAAACCTTTTAGCAGCATTGTTACATCCTATCACATGGGGATAAACCTTGGACAATACCTAGCTTTTTTAGGAACAAAGACACACCCTGCACGCCCAAAATCCATTAAACCTTGAGTTACCACAGCACATGTCTCTTGCAAGGACAAGGTTGGGGGCAGGGTCACAGATTAACAGCATCTCAAATACAGAACAAAATGGAGTCTCTTACGTCTACTTCTTTCTATATAGACACAGTAACAGGCTGATCTCTTTCTTTTCCCCACAATTTTTTAAACTGGGGTTGACAATGCAAGGGTGAAATTTGGTTTTCTCTCTCTTGAACAGGATTTTCATGTAATAGTAAAGGCTAATTAAAGGTTTTTGCTTTTTCAAATTTTTGAGTTATCATTTTGGCAAAATTAATTACTTATAGTAACCTGGAATTCTATTTTGTGTGTGTGTGTGTGTGAGATGGAGTCTTGCTCTGTCACCTAGGCTGGAATGCAGTGGCACCATCTCGGTTCACTGCAATCTCTGCCTCCTGGGTTCAAGCAATTCTTGTGCCTTGGTCTCCCGAGTAGCTGGGATTACAGGCACCTGCCATCATGTCCAGCTAGTTTTTGTATTTTTAGTAGAGACAGAGTTTCATCATGTTGGCCATGCTGGTTTCAAACACCTGACCTCAGGTGATCCACCCGCCTCAACCTCCCAAAGTCCTGGTATTACAGGCGTAAGCCACCATGCAGGGCCTGGAATTCTATTTCATAACATCAAGTGTTTTAAACATCTAACATATGTGACAGGCTTCCCAAAATCAAATTTCAGCTTCAAGGTTCTTTCCCTATCCCTTGCTGTTGGATGCTACAGAGAGCCCCTGAAGCATCCAGAAGAGAGGTAAACAGGATTATTTGACATGTTTACGCACATGGAATTGTCAAAATTATGTTTAATCTTCATATTATATTTTAGTGAATATTAATATTATATGTTCCAAAATTGTATGGGATGTCTACAATTCTAATGTCTGAGTATATGCTATCAATCATAATTAAGGTTATTATGTTATTGTAAACCACAGAGATAACCAAATTTTCTTTGTCAATCATGTTTGTAACTGTAACTACCCTGGACATTTTGTCATTCATAGACAATTGTCTTGTTTTGATCCTCTTCAAAGGATGGTTTATAATCAGCCATAAGGCTTTGACAGGTGCTCTCAAATGCAGGTTTCTTGATAACCTTGGAGATTGTGACATTGGAATGAAGGAAAACATGCAGGACTCACGAAGGGCTGAAATGTTAATTAATATCAAACAGAACAAGAGTTAACAGAACATACTGAACTAAAAGAAAACTGAAGTGATCTTTTTTTAAAGTTTTTGCTCGAAATGTTGCTGATCCTTGTTTTGTTTTCAGAGTCAAGGAAACTTATTTTGAGCCATTTACAGCCTTTAATAATTGAGTAAGGTATACTCATGTGATCAAAATTTGGAGCATATTTGTTTCTCTCCTACTTGCTTCTCCAGAATTTGGAAACTAGTTGCGAGTATTCTTAATTTATAGCGATATAGTTTTTTGCATCAGTGCAATAAGAATCACTTTCTTTTGCAACAGGACACCATTGGAGAAACTGGTTGCTTTACCAAGGCTTTGATTGGAAGGGTATGCTTCCCTTTTAGAAATCAAGCTTGACTTACAGAGCCGATAAAAGCCCCTTGGGAAAACTGACTTCATACCTTGTCTACACAGTCCCCATACAGGTTTCCTAATCTGCAGTGAGTAAGGAATGTCACATTCTACAAGGCCCAGGAACCCCATATTCTTGGGACCTCAAGAAGAGAGGAATTCACCCAACTCATAGGTATGTTAGGGTACAAACCCATGGCTGGGCTCAGCATTAAAAATCCTAAGATTCCTTGCAGAACAGAATTCCATCAAAGTCAATTTTAAAAGCCTATGTAAAAATAATTATTCTTGCTGCACTTTATGCAAATAATCAGGCCAAATACAAGACTAAAGTTTATTTTGCAAACAACTCCATCCTATTGTGATTTATTTTTAACAAAAATGAGAACTGGAGAAACTATGTTTCAAGACTTATCATACATTTGTCTTTAGATTCTAGACTCATTAGTTGTTTTTAAGTTTTTTGCCCACATTTTAAACTAACGCTGATTATTCCTGTGAACCAACCAGCAATCTCCAGCTGCAGCTCAGCAGCAGCAAAAGGGATGAGTAATGTAAAAATCTGGATCAGTATTCTAGTTCTGGGCAATTACCCTGCAAATCCTGCCAGATGATTAGAGTAAATAAGGTGCTCATAACCCGGAGGTATCTTTTTTGGGAAAATAAGACCAAGGGAGCTAACCAAAGCCAAGCCCCATACACCCAAATCTTAGCAGGCATAACTACAGCTACCAGTTATCTGGGTGTGTCCACAGCTTTAGGATTTTTTTTAGCTGTCCTTACCATCTCCCCTTTGTTTCATTTTTATTATGCCTTCTAATAACCTAGTTTGTCTCTTCTCACCTTCAGGCCATTGAACTCCAAACGTTCATGCAATCAGAGCCTCAAACGATGGCTACCTTTTACCAGGGACCCTTAGATAGGCCTCAGGGAGATCTCACTGCTGTTTTCCCAAAACAGTGCCCCCATCAGCAGGAAGCAGTTAAGATTGATCACTATCCTTATCCTTATTCTAAGAATAGATGTACTTATCCTTATCCTAAGTTAGATGTACTTCTTTAGAGGGGGAATGATAGAGTCAGGAGACAGCCAAATGCTGCCCAGGTCATTGTGTACAGGGGGATTGCCTAAACATGCCCATGATGAAAAATTTCATCCCTTAACACATACACAGTAAGAGAAATAAATCAGTGTGGAATGGTTCAGACTAAGGGCCTGCCTGCACACTGGGAGAATGGGGTGGAGCCACCAGGAATTCATGCAGGGGTAGAAGACTGGGCTCTTCAGCTCATGTGTGGTGGCCTGGTATTCAATTTAGTGAGATGGAAAACCTGCATGCACGACCCCTCTTTTTGTTGAGTTTTCCTTTTCACTTAATAAATTCTGCCCTCCTCATTTTTCAGTGTGTCCCTGTGCCTAATTTTTCCTGGTCATGAGACAAGAACCTGGATTTTTGTTCAACTAAGGAGGAAAAAATCCTGCATTAATGGTATGACTTAAAGCATCAGTTAGATAGTATGCATGAAATTAACCTTAGGTCATGAGAGCCACCTATTTATTATTTTTATTTTTTTGAGATGGAGTTTCGCTCTTGTTGCCCAGGCTGGAGTGCAATAGCACAATCTCAGCTCACTGCAACCTCCACCTCCCAGGTTCAAGCAATTCTCCTGCCTCAGCCTCCTGAGTAGCTGGGATTATGGGCATGCGCCACCAAACCTGGCTAATTTTTAGTAAAGACGTGGTTTCTCCATGTTGGTCAGGCTGGTCTTGAACTCCCAACCTCAGGTGATCCGCCTGCCTGGGCCTCCCAAAGTGATGGGATTATAGGTGTAAGCCACCACACCCAGCAAGAGCCACCTATTTAGATGCTCAACTTCCAAGCAACTGAGATAAAACTGAGGAGCTTATGAAACTACTAAGCAAGAGGAAAAGGTGACACTGAGGAGCTGTATGAGAAAACAATGATTTCAAACACAAGACAGTATTAGTGTGGCTAAGTTGCAAATAACAGAAAACTCAACTCTAACTCGTTTGACAGAAGATGTTTATTGGCTCACATAGCTGAAAAGTTCTGAGGTAGGTCTGCTTCAGGTAAGGCTTGGTCTAGTGGCTCAAAAGATGTCACCAAGAACCTAGTTTCTCTCTGTTTAATCACTGTCTTCTTTGGTATTGGCTTTAATCCTCAGGCTCCATATGGTAGCACCTGGAAGCTTGAGAATCTCCCCTTTTAATAGAAAAAAAAAAAAGTTGCTATAATTCTAGGCCTCACATTTTCCTATGTGCCACAAAGAGGACAGATAATATCTCCTCTGGTAGCTCTCAATGAAGAAAAGCCTCTCTTTTCCAGAAAACCCAGTATCTCCTCATATCACAATGGCTCTGTGGCCAAGGGGATGGGATAAGCTGATTGACACAAGCCAAACAGGGTCCACTCATGAAGATGGTGATGGTGCTAAACCACATAGCTGAGAAAGGATACCTTCCCAAAGAACACCTGGGTAACTGTTACCAGAGGGATGGGGAAGAGATGATGGAAACCAATAAAAGATGACCACTTCCAAAAATGTTGTTTTATAAACTCCTGATTTCAATTAGTTAGTTAATTATATAATTCTTAACTTTCCTGTGTAGACTCTACATGTTCCTCATGTTTGTTTTATCTCTGGTCCTGGACCTAGGGAGGGCATTTCTGACTCTGATGCCGATACTGGATTACATGAAAACTTTTCAACTATTGACTGGATGAAGCTATCTAACAAAGCATTAACCACCACCATAAAGTGACCATTTCTCCCTCCCTTGGCAGTGGCCTCACAGCTTATCAGAATGTAGGCTATCATGGTAGTGAAGGATGCACAGACTGGGAGAGGATTTAGGATAGGAAGCAATGAGAGGGGCTGGAACTATATAAATTTTTATGAAAAAAATCTCCAGTTGAGTTTACATATTCCCAATCCCAGAATGATGTCTGATAAAACAAATGCAATCAGGTCTCTTAAGACCTGAATTGGCCAGGCGTGGTAGCTCAGGCCTATAATCCCAGCACTTTGGGAGGCCAAGGCAGGTGGATCACAAGGTCAGGAGAGCGAGACCAGCCTGGCTAACATGGTGAAACCCCGTCTCTACTAAAAATACAAAAAATTAGCCAGGCATGGTGGCGGTCACCTATAGTCCCAGCTACTCAGGAGGCTGAGGCAGAAGAATGGCATGAACCCGGGAGGTGGAGTTTGCAGTGAGCTGAGATTGCGCCATTGCACTCCAGCCTGGGCAACAGAGCAAGACTCTGTCTCAAAAACAAAAAAATTAGAAAAAAAAAAAAAAAAAAAAAAGACCTGGATTACCCTCTGCTGTTTCCCTAAATTTGGTGGCCTCAAAAGGAAAGTAACTTCTGAAGAAAAGGTCCTAGAGTTGATAATGTAACTGCAATGTTGCTTCCATCAAATAAGGTTTTCAGTGAGACAGAGTTATGAAAAGCAGTACTAATGAACACTTGTATACAAAGAGTATCTACAGAGATACACAACCAGTAGCAGTGATTGCCTCTGGGGAGAACTCAAGAGATAGGAATGACAAGGAAATTTACTTTTCACTGAACACCCTTTTCAACTATTTCAATTCTTTTTTATCATGAGCATGTTATATCTAGTCAAAGATTAATGTTTCAGGATTTGAAAAACAAAAGAAATGCAGTGTTGGTCCTCAGAGTCATTTAGCTGGGGTTAAGACTAAGAGACTTAAGACTATTAGAAAAATATAAGATGGCACATAATTAAATACTAACTTGGGTGGTACTGATTACAAGTAGAAGAGGAAGAGAGATCTGCTTAGTTGAAGGAGCTGGATCTGAGTGATGAAGGGAAACGAGAAGCACAGGAAAACAAGCAAATCAAAACGGGCAGAGACATAAATATGTACAATTAAGTAAAGAACAGTAAACTCTGCAGTCAGAAAGGCCTGGCTCCAATTTCAACTCTATAACTTACTGAACAACCCTGAATGAGTTTTATAACCTGTTTCAACTCAGATTTCTCATTTGTAAAACAGGGAGAAGAGCACCTACCTTAGTAGGATTGTTATGCATAATGTATGTAAAGTGGTTAGCACCTGATACAGAGTAGCTGCCCAACTAAATGATGCCTTGTATAAACATCATAGAACAGGGGGACCAGTCTTGCTAGACTAAATGCTCAAAATGGCAAGATAATACTGGCTATTAAAGTTAAGGGTTACAGCAAATTGTGAACAGTCATCTCATTTTCTCTCTGGGGTTCCTGCAGCATAAGAATTATAAACAAGTATCACTATCATGCACTCTCTAAAGTTCAATAAGGTGAGAGATTTGACAGTTATAGGGCTTTTCTCTAGCATGGCGCCTCTGGTGCTTAATTAAGACAGAATTCTGACTGAAGGCCTTCCCACAGTCATTACATGTATAGGGTCTTTCCCCAGTATGGATTCTTTGATGTCGAATAAGGTGTGCCTTGCAAAAGAAGCTTTTCCCACAGTCAGTACATTCATGAGGCTTGTCCCCAGTGTGGACCCTCTGGTGCTGAGAAAGATCCGAGTTCCACATGAAGCCTTTCCCACAGTCCTTACATTCATAAGGCTTCTCCCCAGTGTGCATTCTCTGATGTCGAAGAAGGGCTGGGTTTCGAGTAAAGCTTTTCCCACATTCCTTGCATGTGTATGGTTTCTCACCAGTGTGGATCCGTTGATGTTGTGTAAGGCTTGTGTTCTGACTAAAGCCCTTTCCACATTCCTTACATTCAAAGGGTTTCTCTCCAGTATGTATTCTCTGATGACGAATCAGGTTTGACTTCCAAACAAAGGCCTTAGCACATTCTTGACATTCATAGGGTTTCACCCCACTGTGAATTCTCTGATGTGCAATGCAATGTGATCGAAAACTGAAAGCCTTCCCACATTCCTTACATCCATAGACCTTTTCTCCATTATGAGTTTTCTGGTGTTGATCAAAGTCCTCACTTTGATCAAAACACTTGCCACATTCCTCACATATATAGAATATTTGCTCACTTAGAATTTTGTGATGTATACCAAGGAGGTTACTGACATCAGTATTCTCTGAACTCTCTTCTACTGAGATCATCTCATCCTTGACAATCACTTCTATAATATCATTTGAAGAACTTTCCATACTTCCCCCATTGAGGTAACCAGGCCATCTCCCTAACCTGCTTTTCTCTTCACAGGTTTTCCCAAACCATAATTCCTGGGATCCACACCACCGGGGTCCACTTGATAGGACCATGAGGTCCTGTGCTTCCTCAAGAATTTCCTCCTTCAGAATAAAATCTTCTTTCTTCCTCTTCAACACACCCTCTGAAAAAAGAAATCAGAGCTTCAAATGTCATCATTATCCATGACAGAGCGACAAAGGTCACCAAGTGGTATTAATACGTCCACTTCTCTCCAACTGCCACCTGTCTCAGTGGCCCTGTCCTAGCTGAAAATGGCAAAAACAAGGCTAATACACAGAAAGAAACCAAAAGTAAAGACAGCAACTAGATAGAATCCCTGAGGGCTATGATTCCTGGCACCAAACCAAGTACCAGAGTAGGCTCTCAGAAAACAGATGAATTGAATCTAAGGAAAACAAAGTCAGAATTCTTCCTAGGTAGCTGAGTACAGTTTGTAACATGAGAAGAACAGGCCAGGACTTAGGGCAAAGGACCTGTTCAGAAATAAGGAATCCTTAGTGGTATACCTGGGAACCTGGGCTTGTCACACACAGCACACAGTAGCAAGAATGAGCTTCCCGGCCGGGTGCGGTGGCTCAAGCCTGTAATCCCAGCACTTTGGGAGGCCGAGACGGGCGAATCACGAGGTCGGGAGATCGAGACCATCCTGGCTAACACAGTGAAACCCCGTCTCTACTAAAAAAAAAATACAAAAAACTAGCCGGGCGAGGTGGCGGGCGCCTGTAGTCCCAGCTACTCGGGAGGCTGAGGCAGGAGAATGGCGTAAACCCGGGAGGCGGAGCTTGCAGTGAGGTGAGATCCAGCCACTGCACTCCAGCCTGGGCGACAGAGCAAGACTCCGTCTCAAAAAAAAAAAAAAAAAAAAAAAAGAATGAGCTTCCTCATATTTTTCAACACTAAAAGGAAGTATAGTCTTCTCTTTCAATCCAATCACCAAGTTCACCATGAAACCATGGAAAGTGCCTTCTCAAACTACTCCAGGCAGAACTGGGCAAAGACTCCCTCCTCTTTGTTCTCATAGTGTCTTACTCACATTCTGTTACAGCTTCATCATTTTTCTGTAATTATAAATTTATGTATAATGTCCCATGAGACTGTGAGTCCTTCCAGGATAAGGGCCATATATGACTTGATTTTTTTATCCCTAACAACTAACACAATGAGTAAAACACAGCATCTACATTAAAAATATTGGGTGATCATAGCAGCCAGATGGGGCAGGCCATCTGTTCAGTTTAAGCCTAAGACAAAAGACCCATCCTAATTTAATTAATTGAGCTTGTCCTAATTAAAGTTGGAAGCTTAGGGTTTAAGTTTTCTTTTAATTGGCTGATTTGGGGATTTGGCCCCCAAATTTGTTTAGAACATGAATGGCAAAATGGACTTTTACATCTTATAAAAGAAAGACAGGAAAAGGTGTGACTGAAAGAAGAATGCTCATTTCCCTCTCACTTACCAGGACAAATTAGGCTTGGACCCTCTTCTTGCAGTTTCAGGTTTAATGGCTCTTCCACCTGCTCAAGATGGGAAATCCCAGCAGGTTTTAGAAATGGATATCCTGCCAGGGTCAAGATACAAATAAGGCTGGTTCAGTCAGAGGAGTGAGGCCCATCAGGAAAAGAGCAGACATGGAAGTGGTAGGGAGAGAATAAAGGTGGGTGAAAAGACTGGTAACATAGATAAGCAGCAATTTGAAGGTATAGAATAATAAGGATAGGCTGGGCATGGTGGCTCACACCTGTAATCCCAGCACTTTGGGAGGCCAAGGTCGGTGGATCACCTGAGGTCAGTAGTTCAAGACCAGCCTGGCCAAACATGGTGAAACCCTATCTCCATTAAAAATACAAAAAAAATTAGTCAAGCATGGTGGCACACACCTGTGGTCCCAGCTAGTCGGGAGGCTTAGGCAGGATAATCACTTGAACCCGAGAGGCAGAGGTTGCAGTGAGCCAAGATTGTGCCACTGCACTCCAGCCTGGACGACAGGGCAATACTCTGTCTCAAAAAAAAAATAATAATAATATAAAGGATAGAAAATACTGGAACAGAGAAGTTGCAATTCCATCAGTTCCCAAAGATATGAAAACATATAACTCACTTGAAAATGTCAAGAAGAAATAGAAAAGACTAAGGCCTCTTCGTCACCTATCCCTAGGAGGTGAAATCAAGTTCACATAGAAAACAATCAGGATAGGATGGAATTGCAAAGAGCTATTCTTGAGGACTTCCTGTCTAGGCAGGCTATTCTGGGAAACTATAAGCTCCTAGTTTCCTTCCTATTCATTTATTGCTTTCTCATTCCACAAAGATTCAATGGATGGGGTCTCTCTATGGCATCCATAAGAAATGGACTCACACCCTCACTCAGTCACTTCCAAAAGTCACTTCCTACTCAATAACAGACATCTCTGTTCACAGAGATCTACTCTAACATACCTGACTTCTGCTTTTGCTAGAACTGTCGCTTTGTAACATTCATCCAAAACCTCCTAAGAAACAGATCAACTCTACACCTTCAAATGACAACCTTTTCTTTTCTTTTTTTTTTTTTTGAGACGGAGTCTCGCTCTGTCGCCCAGGCTGGAGTGCAGTGGCACGATCTCAGCTCACTGCAAGCTCCGCCTCCCGGGTTTACGCCATTCTCCTGCCTTAGCCTCCCGAGTAGCTGGGACTACAGGTGCCCGCCACCTCGCCCGGCTAGTTTTTTGTATTTTTTAGTAGAGACGGGGTTTCACTGTGTTAGCCAGGATGGTCTCGATCTTCTGACCTCGTGATCCACCCGTCTTGGCCTCCCAAAGTGCTGGGATTACAGGCTTGAGCCACCACGCCCGGCCTGAAAACCTTTTCTGTTGCCAAATCCAGGGACTATGTATCCTCTTAGTATTAACTTCTGTAAGACAAAAGTGGACTTTGAGTAAGGATAGGTATGTGCCAAGAAATCAGCTGCAGGTCAGAGAGTTAGAATTCTGCTCAAGGAGTAACTTAGCTGTTAGTTTTCTACCTAAAGCAAAACAAAGCAAAGCAGAGAAACTCCCTTAGGTGGTGAGGAGAGGAAGCACTGAGAATGTAGAAGACACTGTGGTGGTCTCCCCACACCCATTCCCCTCCTCCCCACTGTAAAGTAGCTATGCCCTTTGTAGGGAGCTGGAGTGGGGAGTTGGGTATCCCAACTCCACTCCCTAGGGTAGGCTCTGACTTAGATAAGCCAAGCAGGTTAATCCCATTCCACTGGCTACATGGGAGACTGATTCAGATATCGGCAATTCAGACCAAGTCAATCAGTGCACAGTAGTTACCCTGCCACAGTGATTGATTTAGAGTTGGCATATGACTTAAGGTAGTCCATTAGAGCATACTTGGCACTTTGATTCACAATGTTTAAAGCCCAAGGAAGGCCTGCCAGGTTTCTTCTCCTAGGTATGAAGCAGCAGAGTCCTGTTACTACCACCAATCACCTTACAACCAAAAGGGGAGCCAGACTGTAGACAAAGCCAGCACATACAGAGACAGAGCAGAGAATGTAATTCTGATCAAACTGTACCTGCAGCCCACTCTACCTCAGACTTCCCAGTTACATTAAACAACAAATTCTTTTTTGTTTAAGCCAGTTTGAATTGGGTTTTTATACTTGCAATCAAGAATATTCTAATATGAAAAAACACAACAAGGAACTATGAGAATGAGGAAATTGGGAGCACAGCTCAAGTCTCACTGCGCCCAAAAAAGAGCCCTATGGGAAAATGAAATGGGGCCAAGGAGGCAACCAGGAAACACAGTTATCACAAGGAAACTAAGAGTAAGAAAGTCCTGTTGGGCCTAAAGTAATCCCAGGGCCTTCCCCTGAGAAACAGGAACTATTTTGCTGAGGGTTGAGAGTTCTTGATTTCTAAAGATAAAGATGGCCATTACATCCCAAGCTGGAAGACTGTAAACAGGCCAGGAAGCAGAAAGGGCACCAAAGATCGAAGTAAACAGGAAACTCATGGAAGATACATCATAGTCATGATAACAGCAGAGATGGGGAAGAGGCAAAACAGGTTAATGAAGATGGCACACAGAGGAGTCAGGATGAATAAAACAAGGACTCAAGAAGATGGAAAACTATGGGAACACAGAGAAGAAATGGAATCCCACTAGTGTCTACAACACTAGGTTAAAAGAACATCTATCTATGGCATTTTAAAGATCATGACAAGCAAACTGGTCAGATGACCGGCATGTGTGCCCTCACTCACCTGAGGAGATGCTCCTCGGGTCCTCTCCATCCAGAGCTCCCCAAGGAACCGAGCACCAGGGTGCTTCCCCTCGCTCCAGCTGGGAAATCAGAGCCGGTTTGGGAAATGGAAATGCTGCTTAAGAGGAAAAAGATGGGACAGGCAGGTGAGTGGTGTGACACAGAGTAATCCCAAGGCTCCTCCCAGCCCAGTGTCTTCAGGGACAAGAGGGGAAACAACTAGGAAGAACAAGAAAAGGAATTTCAGGGGAAAGGACAAGAGAGGGGCCAGGAGACTTACAAAGGTCAGGAAATTGACAGACTCAGTAACTGTTTGAGTTAGCAAATGGATGATTTCACTCATTGAGGAATTGCGTCCTCAATTCTTACCTGTCCTCTCCCTCTTAGAGCTCTCATGTTCAGACATCCTCATGAGGATGCTAGGAATTGGCCTGGATCTTGCAAACAGACAGGGCGGGGAACTGAAGGCTCAGTGGGGCACCATGAATCTGCTCTCTTCTCACTATACTCACAACACAAGGGTAGGGGTTGGGCAGCTCTCACTCTGGGGCAAGGAAGTCCTGTATAAGGCCCAAACTGATACCAGGACTTCCTACTTCCCAACAACTGCTGAGGTTGGGTCATTAAAAATCCAAGAGCCTGAAGCTGCCACTGAGCTGAGGGTTATCAACAACTCCTGAGCCTTTGAGAAAAAAGGAGCCGGCAAACTCTGAAGGGTGGAGGCAGGGCCCAAAGGGAGACCCTTACCCAGGGAAGCCACAGCCCCATAATTCTCCAGCATCACATCCCTGTACAGCGCTCTCTGAGCAGGGCCCAGGCCGATCCATTCATTCTCAGAGAAGTAGACGGCCACATCCTCGAAGGTCACTGACTCCTGAAACAACATGTGTTTAAATGCCCTAGGACAACCTCAGGACCAGGCCAGGAGGAAGGGGATACAGGGCACCAAAAGGTACTGTGGGGGGTGCCTGCGGGGATTCTGGATTCTGAAAGTCTACAGGAACTCTAACAGCAGAAGATTTTTGCCTCCTATGTACAAAGAGACAGGGCATCAGCTATCAATTTTCTCATGTCTCTTCATCTCTATTTCAGCAAACATTTTCTCCTCTTTTTCATGAGTCTGCAAAAGTTTTCTCGTTTCATCCTTATACCCCAAACCACATCTGTGCTCTAGGTCCCATCCTTTCTCCACAATGTGTCCTCCTTCAGAGGTCACCCACCCTTGATAACAACTATCATTTCTTAAGCCTGTGCCAAGCATTTGACACGTATTGTTTATGTCTCATAGCCTACTATCAGATCCATTTTATGGAAGAGGAAACTGAGACTCAGAGAGATGAACTTCCCCCAAAGTTCCAGAACTGAGACAGAACCCGGGCCTGTTTGACTCTGACTCTTGCCTGTTATGCCACACTGTCTTCCGTCCCCATTCCTACCGCTGCTGCCCCTGTGTAGGACTCTTCCTCCTTTGTCCTCCCCAGTTACTGCCACTAGCCAGAGGCAGCTGGGGCTCCTCAGAACATTCAGGTTGCCCTGCACACTGTACTCAACAGGACAGATCCTCGTTGTGACTTTAATCCCTGCACCCCCCGACTCGCAACACACTCTCACAAAGATCCCACCTCACTTGCTTCCCCACGTCCCAATCTCCATGTTCCCATTTTCTATATCTCTAGGAGTCTCAGCTCCTGCACCTTCTTTCTCTTATCCTCTTCCTTAAGAAACAAATACTGCTCACCTCCAGCCATTGAGACTTCCTGTAATTCTCAGCTACTGCCTCCTTCAGGGTCTTAGTCTCCATACTGTGGAGGAGCCCATTCTGGTCCACTGCACGTCAGTCCTTGTGCACTACAAAGTCTCCACAGCTATTGATCCAGCACTCCAGGGCTCCAAGGCTTTGGCTGGCTCACCTTTGTCTGCCTAATAGAGTCCACATTCCTCTGCACTACAGACAATTCCATTTACTACTCACAGACCCAGCTTTCCTGGCCAAAATCATCAGCCACCACCACTCTCATCCCCTATCCTGTCACCATTCCATTGGGAAACCAAATTCTTTCCTCGCCCTGTTCTGTGCCCTTGCACCTGCGGCTACTCTTGCCGAAGATCCAGTTCTTCCCTCCAGATCCTGCATTGCAAATTCCTTTTCAACTTAATACCCAGCTCAAACATAACCAGCTCTGTAAAGGTGGCTCTGAAATTCTGGCCATTCATCGCCCCCCGCGGCACCCTGTGCGCTCTGCCCCAGCAGTTGGCTCAACCACGTGCAGCTGCACGTCTGCTCTCCTTGAGGCTCATGTCCCGGGGGTGTCGACTCCGCTGTGCTGCCTGTCCCTCGAGGCCCCTCACTCTGGGTTGTAACCCCATTTCCCAGCCGCCGCACCACCCGTCCCCGGGCCTAGAACCCAGGGCAGGGCCAAGCCTGCTTCCAGGCTCCGGCCCCGCACTCACCGGGCGCGCCCGGGGCGGCGCTGGCTGTCCCTGCAGCAGCTCCAGGTCAGGGCCGAGGCGTGTCCTGCTCGCCAGGGCCGCGGCCGCCATAGCCCGGGTCGCCCTCTGGGAAAGCGAGCGCGCGCCAGACCCGACCGGAGGCTGTTGGGGTCAGGAAGGAGCGCTCTGGACCTGGGCAGGTCTGACACGGCTACCCTGAGCCCTGCAGCCACCTGAGTAAGACCCCGACTCCGCTCCCTGCCAGCCCCACGCCCAACTCCTCGTGCTCCTCGCCAACCAGACCCCCGCATCCGGGAGTCCGGGGCTCGGGCGGCTCCGGTTGCTCTAGGACGGCGGAGGGCGCCGCGTCTCTGTGGTCCTCCTTTCTAGCTCTGGAAGGGAGGGGAGAGCGGTCCGGTTCTCCTGGAGACACAGACGATCCCAGGGGCCGCTACCGCGGTAGGGGTGCAGGCGGCTGGGGAGGACTCTGTCCCCGGCGCTCTAGGCCATCCCTTCCTCTCCAGCTCGCTGCACCTGGGTGGACAGGTATTTGCTGACAGGAGATAGCGGGTACTTCACTGGACTGCACCTTCTCTTTTATCTCTCCTTTTACCAGTTTCTACATTCCCAGAGCAGACCTGTATTTTATGTTATGTCTTTTAACATTCTCATCTTTGTGCCTCTAACATGAGCCCGATGTCTAGCACCTCCTGGGGAGTAATTTCTTTAACTGCCAAGAAATATTTGTAGAATTGTCCACGAAAAGTCAAACTGTAAAATATTTGAAGAGATTTATCCTGAGCCAAATATGAGTGACCATGGCCCGTGCCACAGCCCCAGGAGATCCTGAGAACATGTGCCCAGCGTGGTCGGGCTACAACTCGGTTTTACACATTTTAGGAAGACATAAGACATCAATTAACACATGTAAGATGTACGTTGGTTTGGTATGGAAAGGTGGGACAACTGGAAGAGGAGGCTTTCAGGACATAGGTGGATTCAAAGATTTTCTGAGTAGCAATTGGTTAAAACAGTTAAGTTATTGTCTAAAGACTTAGAATCAATAGAAAGGGATGTCTCAGTTAAGATAAGGGCTTGTGGAGACCAAATTTTATCATGCAGATGGAGCAAAAGGAAGACAGCAAAAGGAAGAGTAGACAAACAGGCCAGCTCCCCAGGTCCTCATCCTACATGCTAAAAAGAATGCCATGAAACAAAAGGGAGCTGGATGCCAGCAATGTGAGTTTTCGGATACCCCATTTCTGAGGAGCCAATATTAGACTGCAACAAAGTAGTGCTATAGTCTAGTGCTATAGTCTACTTTGTTGCAGTCTAAAATTGGCTCCTCAGAAATGGGGTATCCGACAACTCACATTGGGTTGAGTAATGAACCTATGTGGTGGCTTATGCTCTTGAGAGTTCTTAACCATATGTGTGATAGGTTGGGAGGTGGAATTATGGACTTGGGAGGACCTACCCTCCTCAGGATATAACTGCAGACTACACTACTTCCTTCTGGGGGACAAAAGTCTCATGCTTCATCAGAACCTTGGAGGCAACGAAAACCTGTCTCATGACAGCCTCCCATAGGAGATAGGAAAGGGAGTGAGGGATGACCTTGTAAAGCTCCTCTCATCCCCTTGTGTTCTGGAGGATCACAAGACAACCTGCTAAGACTTAGATTAGCTGCTGTTCATGCCTTTTCCTGTGTGGCCTATGTAGCTATGTGCAAGGTAGCCGGGGTACCATGGCAGAGTCATTCGCCTACAACTCGACCTCCCAACCTATCACACATATGGTTAAGAATTCTCAGGAGCATAAGCTGCCACTTAGGTTCATCAGATACTCTAGTTAATTGTACTGATAAAGACTTGGACCAGATCCATTCCATTTCTTTTAGGCAACATCAAATCAGAGTAACCATGATTACGAGTCCCTGTAGTTTAATCAGGCCCACTGGATGGTAGACATATTCCCAATCCAGAACCAAGCCAGTTAATATGGCTGAATGCAGGCGAGGCAAGAGGTGTTGGCAATGGCACATATCGCACCTGAACTGACCAGTGGGAAATCCAAAACCATACAATTGTCCACTATCGGTCATGCTAGAGAATTTAGAACAATAAGTGGTCTGTGAAAAAATGTGCAAAAGAGTCCAGTGACAACAGAATGAGGCTAAAGGGAATAATATCAACTTTCAGAAAGTTAACTTTGTTATGTTATATCTTAGTGAGGCTGTTCCTTTCTGGAGCCAGTGGTTTTGGGAAGATTGTGATAGTTTTAAAATTAAGATTGTTTGTTGGCCAGTGGTCAAGTTGATAGCGGTAGCAGAAGTCTAGGTTAAATTGGCCAGATATCCTGCAGATTGTAGCTAAGAGAAATTAATGGACCTTCCTTCTGAAACCACCTTTGCAAAAATTATAAGAGAAAATTATGATGGTGAAAGAGATCTGAACTAATCGACTCCATCTTGCTTTTAACTTCCAAGCTGTCATTGTTCATTCCTGGGCATGGCCAAACTAACTTTGGGAGGCCCTTGGTTTATAATTTAACTTTGAAACAAAGATGGTAACAGCCCTTTTCCAAAACAAACCCCCTTCCTGCCTGCAGACTAGACTGCCCTTGCAGGACTAACAAAGTAGCCACAAGATTAGAAATTATGTTTTAAGAGTCATGCAGCTGGAGGCTGGAAGATTCTCAACCTCCCCGAATTGTTCCTGGGGATAATATCACTCTTATAAAACCAAAGATCAGTGCTTGAGATGTTTTGGAGACCCTGCACACAGTGGATCAACTGGCACCACCCAGATCGGTAAACTGGCCCATCTGGTATTGTGGCCCCCACCCAGGAACTGACTCAACACAAGAGGACAGCTTCAACTCCCTATGATTTTATCTCTGACCTGGCCAATCAGGACTCTCCACTTTCCAACCCCCTACCCACCAAATTATCCTTAAAAACCACAACCACCAAGTTTTCAGGGAGACTGATTTAAGTAATGATAAAAACTCCAGTCTTCCATATGCTGGCTCTGCATGAATTAAACCCTTTCTTTATTACAATTACCATGTCTTGATAAATCAGCTCTGTCTAGGCAGCAGGCAAGGAGAGCCTGTTGGGCAGTTACACTTCTGCCCTGACAACCCAAAGTCTAAGGTGTTCTCTTCTTACCAACCAGGATTGTTGTTCCTCTTGTTCCACAGCTACGTGATCAATATGACTCGTCTCTGCAACAATCACTCCACCTATTTCCCAACTCCCCTGTGTCTTACACACCATACACTCAGACTCATCTCTAGTTAGTTCAGTAGTTTCTTTCTTATATAACTTGTAAAATCCTAGAATGTCTCCCACCTTCTGACATGTGGGCCACGCCAAGACCACCTTAGGAGTTGTCTTCTCATATTTACGATTTATGGTCACTATAATCATTATCTATAATTGGCCAAATCCAATTAGCACAGCTGGATGGCAACACACACACACACACACAGTGTCAGTCTCCTGCTCCCTGGCTCTTATTTCCTACTGTCAAACTGCAGTAGTTCAGTTTCCCAGGGTTAAGCATAGCAGGGGAAAAAATAGAGAAGAATTAATTATGTGGTTATGTCTCTTGCAGTCAGGGCCTTCTTCCACTCCTGAACCTTGTGAAAGTGTTACTGCCAGCAAGTCTGCAAACAGTGGCAAATCTGCACTGATCCCGACCCTTGTCTTCTCAGAGGAAAGATTTCAACTGAAAGACTGAGGCAAGTTTTAAAGCAGAGGCAAAGGTTTATTAAAAGAAGCAAAGCACACTTGGAAGAGGGCCAAGTAGGGAACTTGAGAGATCAAGTGCCCTCCTCAGCCTTTGGCTGGGGATTTTTATAAACTGGCTTTTGGTTCCGGGATTTTTCTTCTCTTCCCTTGATCCCTCCGTTGGGGTGGGCTGTTGCTCAGCTGCCGCATGTGCAGTGGCGTGCTAGTACTTGGGAGGAGCCGCATGCGCAGTGTGCTTACTGAGGTGGTGCGCATGCTCACTTGGAGCGATTTTCCCTTACTGGTTGATCACCCCCAGAGGAAGGTCATATACCAGTCAAAGACCACCATTTTGTCCTCTACTTTTGCACCCATGCTTAAGACCAGATCAGGGGCTGGGCACAGTGGCTCACGCCTGTAATCCCAGCACTTTGGGAGGTCAAGGCAGATGGATCATTTGAGATCAGGAGTTCGAGACCAGCCAGGCCAACATGGCAAAACACTGTCTCTGCTAAAAATTTTTTAAAAATTAGCCAGGCGTGGGGGTGGGTGCCTGTAATCCCAGCTACTGGGGAGGCTGAGGCAGGAGAATCACTTGAATCTAGGAGGCAGAGGTTGCAGTGAGCTGAGATCGTGCCACTGCACTCCAGCCTAGGTGACTGAGACTCTGCCTCAAACAAAAAAAACTGATCAGGGAATTGTGATTTGCTGGCTCCAGATGTTTTCTATCTGTTAGGGAACTCCTCTCCATCTTGGTCCCAGTCATGGCCACTTCTCATTTCAGAGGGACAGTTTTATGATAGCTTGACCATCACCTGATGAGTGCCTGCCATTTCCAGAATTCTCTCTACTGCCACCTCCTGGGGCAAGTGAATGGCCTCTAGTAGCTCTAAGATTTGGGACCCGTACTTAGCAGGAGTATCCCAAGTTGCTGGGTATTCCCTTTCCTTCCAGATAGTGGCTTGGGCGTGAAGCACCAAAAAGTCGTATTTGGAATCTGTATAAATGGTTATTCTTTTCCCTTCCCCTAGTGTTAGGGCTCTGGTTAACAAGATGAGTTTTGCTAGCTGTCCTGAGGTCCCCGAGGATAGAGCTTTAGCCTCTGTGTATCCTGCATACATAGTTTCATTCTGAACAAAACTGCTCCCATCTGAAAACCATATTTTGTCCAGGTTGTCCAAGGGCTGATCCTTTAAGTCTTCCCATCTGGCATAAATTTGGTTATCTCACAACATGAATGTGTTGAGTCATCCTCTCCTGGTAATGGCAGTAAGGAGGCTGGGATGAGGGTGGAGCACCACTCAACTGTTACCTGTGGGATTTCTAACAACAAGACTTGATACTTTAGCAATCTGTTGTCAGTGAGCCATTGTGGCACTTTTATGTCCAGTAAGGAGCTTATTTGTTGGACATCAGAGGAACTGGATTGACTGTATCATGGTGCTTTTGAGGACCTCCTCCAGTAGGAGGGCTGCTGCAGCCACTACCTTGAGGCAGTGTGGCCACCTGTGTGCTACTGGGTCTAGGTTATTTGAAAAGTAACCTACAGGACATTTGATTGACCCAACAGTTTGAGTTAGGACTCCTAAGGCTACACCTTGGCTTTTGGTGATGAAAAGCTAAAACAGTTTGGTTAGTATAGGTAGCCCAAGGGCTGGGGCTTATGAGAGAGCAGTCTTTAGCTGCCTAAAGGCTTGTTCCTAATCTTTTCTCCAGAGAAGTGTGTCCCTATCAGT